CTTCTCAGCTGAGTGTTTATCAATATCCCGACATGTGTTATTGCGGCAATGTTGATGACGAAGTCGCCATGCATGTCAGACACCACAGTCAGCATATGCAGAAGTGTCAGACAGTTAGCATGTCTCCTGTGCTATCATCATTGCTATTTGGCCTCTTGTTGTTGAAACAATATGGTAAAAGTGAATCAAAAGACATAATTAATTTCTTGATCTGTGAAGAATGAATAATTTGTACATCTCTGGATATAACCAAAGTCATTATTTTCTGATTGGCATTATTAGAATTCCAAAGTGGATTCCAATTTTCAGCTAGTCATTATGTAGAGAGTAACTAAACTATCTCAATAAAGAAACTTTTATATAATCTGTTAAAATCACTGCTCCTTGAAAATAAAATATGTTAAATGTAATAACATATCTGTTCTAAACCATTTGCTGAATAGCAGTTAAATCATATTGTGTTGCCTATTTTCCGATGCAGTATAATCTTTAAAACAACAGGAGTGGAAGACACTCATTTGAATGAAGAACTATTGTTTTTAGCGTATTATGTGTAAGCATGAGAATAATTTCTCCATAAATGATGTATCTTTTAAATTCTTCGATTTATATTGAAGTAGGTTGATACATTTACGAAAAGGTTATTATTAGATTTAACTCTACACTCTGTATCAGACACACTCTATTAATTCGTTCTGCTGTTCAACAACTTCTTTATTATTCAAATACATGTACAACGTTCCATGGCTACTTCTTGTCCCTTCACCTGATAAAGTTGTGTATGTACAATAAAGAACCTGTTATCCATAATAATACTCCTTGTCACGAGTACATATTTTTGAAAAAAACCACAAACAATAATTCATATTTAGGAACTATAATGCCGTCACAAGTACGCGTTCAACTAATTTACCGATTGTGAGGTGCATTCAAATGTTGCTGGAATATGTCTTTTACAATCGTTTATGATGGAGTAAGCCACATAGACTGAAGGGTTTATCTTTACATTGTGAGTGCAAAATGTTCTTTGTAGCACTAGAGGTACATAATGTATAGTGTATTATCAGAACATGTCCAAGAAAGATCGAACAATTAACCAGTGAAAGACAAAGCATCAAGACATTTTATCAATACAAGTTTATTAGTATATGCATCAGATCTAGTTGTAGCCTCTTTATGTAAAATAACACCAACTGGTTACATCACTACATCATACCTTTAATGCAAGGTTTTGAGGAAAATAACCTAATATTTTGTGAAATGAACAATTTATCACATATTACCCATACATATTCTGATACCTCGGATGTTTTAAAATTTTTAATTAATTTCGTTAGTGTATATAACCCTTTAGTGAAATCGCTACTTTAAATGATAATATTTTAACAGGGAAGAGACTTCTTGGATTTTGTATGTTTTCAATTTGTTTGATTTTTCTATTCAAATATGTACTAGTACGCTGTTTCTCATGAATATAAAATATATTCCATATTCGAACATAAACAAGGATTTCGATATCAGTTCCCAGACGGAGGCTATCATGCCTCTTCAACAGAAACAAGCTCGTCTCCCTGTCTCATCTTACTGAGGTTCAAGAGTAAGGTTCAAGAGTAACCCATTACACGCCACAGTGATTGTTCATGGAACGGATTATGCTTTTGTTTCTCTAGATTGTATAGATTTTACTTTATTCCTATCCTTGTTCGCAAACAGTTACGCAGGATGTGAGATCAATATAAGCATAGAAATATTTCCAAGATTGGTATCTACACGTTGGTATCTTCTGTAAAATAACTAGATTGTGTACGTTACCTTTACTCCAATTTCATTTACGTTGGAATCTAATGATTCACATTAAGATATCAGAACACATCTTCTCGTAAGGAAACTGTATGTGGTATAAAGATCACATATACAATAGTGTTTTTGTCCGATCCACACACAAACACTTACTTCCGTTTAAAAGGGCGAAGAAAATGTATGGGTACATGCCATGAAACTAGATTGTCTTACATTTAAACATTATAAAGATCAAGTATTTTAAATCTGTCTCAGCTGAGCAAAATGTTTCGACATGTGTTATTACAGCAATATTGATGACGAAGTCGCCATGTATGTCAGACACCACAGTCAGCATATGCAGAAGTGTCAGACAGTTAGCACGTCTCCGAGGCTGTCATCATTGCTATTTGGCCTCGTGTTGTAGAAACAATATGGTAAAACTGATAATCAAATGACATAATTGACTTCTTGATCTGTGAAGAATGAATAATTTGTACATCTCTGGATATAACCATAGTCATTATTTTCTGATTTTTCTCCATTTAGAATTCCAAAATGGATTACAATTGTCAGCTAGTCGTTATACTGAGAGTAACTAAACTATCTCCACAAACAAACTTTAAATGATTTGTTAAAATCACAGCTCCTTGATGAAAAGAAAATAATATGAAGACGCTCGTTTGAATTTGAAACTATTGTTTCATGATAACGTATTATGTGTAAGCATGATAATATTTTCTCTATACATTATTTTAAAACAAATACCTTAATGTATCTTTAAAATTCTACGGTTCATATGAAGCAGGTTGATACATTTACGAAAAGTGTTTTATAGATTTAACTCTGCACACTGTATCATAAATACTCCATTTATGCGTTCTGCTGTTCAACATAAAGGCAGCACCAGACGCCGAACGACAACCATCATTACTTGTAAAAAGCCTGTGTTCCAGACTCGTCTTACGAGAGTAGTCTCACCCTGTTCATGATTTAAGTGCTAAACTTTTCCACCAATAATCTCTTTCCATCGATGTCCTCGTTGGTGGAATGAAAGCAGTTCATCACACTAGTCTGTCAGAGATTGAAGACATTTTTATTGGTATTTACAGAACTGACTTTGAGGCCCTTCGAGATCTTTATGGTTAGGCTCAGTCGCTTGTAGCTGAAAGAAAAATATTAAAGTGACAGTACAGTTATTTGAGAGCGTTCATTGGAATATCGAAGTTGGATCATGGGCTACTCCTTGTCCCTTCACCTGACGACATTGTGCAAGTAAAATAAAGAAGCTGCTGTCCATAATAATACTCCTTGTGATACGCGTACATGTTTTTGAAAACAAAATGAATGAATAATTTATATTTTGGAACTTATCCAGGTTACATCTTCCCGTTTGAACCGCAAAACGTTGCAATCAATGTTACATGCACGTTCATACGTTGATGGCGAAGCAGTTGCAGTTTATTAATACTGCTGTTTAGTGGTGTAAAGGTTCCTTCACGTTGTATATTTAGACATGCTATCACAGCTTCATGTGATTCTAATCCCTTACATATTCATGTCTATTTTATTCTTGAAGATGCATGTACTTGTATGCATCTCTTGATTAGACATGAACACTTCAACATTTCTGTAGTTTCGATATTGTTTTCATGTACATGCATTTTGCATTCTACATCTATCAACATGTTGTATTTCATAATTTCTGTTCATAATTTGACGAATTTGCTGCAACAGGTAAAATTATCCATACAGTGACTCCCCATTACACGGAAATTGGTTAAAACGCACGAATTTGCTGGGAACGAAGCCGTTCGGATGAAACGGGTTACATTCTATAGGATAAAGATGACAACTGATGATAAAACAACTTAAAGATTAAAGTATTTTGATGTTCATGATAATGTTTGAATATTTTCTTCAATGTATAAGGGGCGGTGAGGCTGTCTAGTGTTTTAAGCGTTTGCCCAAAAATGAAAACCCAGATTCGGTTCCCTTTATCGGTAAACTATGTAAATCTCATTTTTAGTATTCCTCGCCTTGATGATGCTGGAATACTGCTAAAGGCCGTGTAAAAATACACCCACTCACTCACTTACATGTATATGTATACTCCTCAAGAATATGAACTTGCTAAAACTGAAAGGACATTATTGACTTCTTTGTTAAATAAATAATTGGCACATCCATGAATGTTTTACAAATTATTAATAACTTATTGGTGTTATTGGAATTCCAAAATGGATTAAAACTGTCAGCTAATCACTAGCCCAAGAACTAATAAACATTGCCTTCATTGCCGAAATATATATTATAATGAAATATAAAGAGGTTACAAATACAAAGTTTTCGCCGTATCCATATATAATTCGTCTTTCCGGACGTTTTTTACAAGGAATCGCACCATCCGGAAAGAAAGGGTTTCACTCTTCACAATTTTACTGCCGACAATGATTGATCGTTGATTAATTCTGCCGAATGTCGCTGACACCACATTCGTTGACGCATATAGAAAACATGGTTAGGATATGGCGTGTGAAAATCAATTTATGCTTCTCAACATACGTTAAGGTTTTTTTATTTCGCTTGCTGCAGACATGTCACTTTCACTGGTGGCATCTTTGTTAATCTCCTTTGTGTCAAAGGCATGCAACTACTTGTGCTAATCAGGTTATCATGATACACTTCAAGAGTGTTGTCTCATGATAAAAATGAGGAGTGCGCTCTTCCTATTTATCACACCTATTTTAAGTGTGAATAAGAGAATTCGTATGCATTCCATGTATTGCATTGAAAAGGTAATTTCAGGTGACATGCAAGCACAAACTAACTAGCGTTGGTAACGTATGACCGATGGAAGGTGAAGTGCAATCGAAAGTTGTACGAGTATGTATTTTCTAATTGTTTATAAAAGAGTAACCTCCTTGGACTGACTAGTTGGATGTATCATATTTGAATATAAATTGTTCTGTGTAGCGCTAAAGAAATAATATTACGATGATTCAAGAAAGATAGTTGGGTACAGTGTAACATTTATTACAAACGATCCATTTCTTTTACATGAAGCAAATCAGTATCTACAAAATAGCACCATTGTATATCTATATATCACAGTTACAATTGGCCGTGCCAAGGTGTCATGACACAGATTGGTTGTTTGGCAGCTGATTACGATCAGAATTCATGACATAGTCCACTGGTGTTCATAGGAGACGTCAACGTCATCGACATCCACATTCAGAGGCGATCACGTCCTCGTGATGACGTACAACAACTTCGCCATCCTCCACGTACATCATGCTGAGAGGTTCCAGTTTGGTTGGGACACAACACAGGTCGGGAGCGGCGTTGGAGCGCTTGCTTCTCATGAGTGACTGCAGCATGGCGTGATTGGTGGGTTTGAATCGGATGTCGATGGGGGAGGGACAGTTTCCGTGGCAGAATTTGGAGTTGAAGCGTGTCGGGTGGATGATCCACTGTCCCCAGCCGATCGTCTTGAAGTCCACGTTAAAGTCGTACAGACGACAGCCTTGTTTCTTCCCTGACTTGTTCCATCGTCTGTTCTTGCGATCTCGACGTCTGCTTGTGGCATGTGCTGATCTTTTAGCGCGTGATGCTATATTACCTAATCCATCAAAAGTGGAATGCTCTTCGACTTTGTAGGTTTCCAAAAGGTTTTGAAGAAAGTGGCGATTTTCCAAATAAAATACAAGTAAGTATCCATAAGTTTCGGATGCTGTTTTCAAAAGAGTTCTGGAGAATGTCCGTGGTATTTCCACATGAATGGTGGCGTCACCGTGGTAACCGTTGATGAAGGTATTAATGGCTCGACTGATGTCAAATACATAATATTCACCCTGTGTAATAGGTTTGACGCTGATGTTAGCTTTTCGTGCGATATTCTCTCCCTTGCGAATGATGACCTTGACCCTGTACTTCTTTAAAGGAGATACAGAGCGTCTGCACCGGAACTCAGCTAATCGGAGACGTTCGTTCTCAGGTAGACTAGGAATCTTGAACGATAGCTCGACTCTCTTTCTTACATTCTTTTGTGTCATGTCTGGAATTAAACATACATTGCATGAAAACCAAAGTTGTACAAATAAAACACTTTCATCAAGAATATTCTTGCAGTGAATGCTTAACGTCTGCGAGCCATTCATCTAATTTCCATCCCTATTTGGCATTTTATGCGCATTGCAATTGTTTCGGCAGACAATCGAGACTGATTATTCCCTGGCCTTGATATATTGAATTTCTTACTTTTTTCATATTGTTTGTTAATGATTAAAATCGTATGTGATCTGACTCCAGGTTAAAGATTACCTTTAGCCGTGAAGCTCCTGATGGTGTCTGCTTTCTTGAAATCAGCTGTGTTCAGCTTTCTGCCTGCCGCTCTTGCAAGTGGTGCCCCTTTTTGAAGAATGTTAAACAATTGTACCATGAGTTGTGTTGAAGGCTTTTGATAATCAACTGGATGACTCAACCTTCCAACAATAGGGGACAGATCTGCAAGAGGTCTTGCACCATTCCCATAAGTATCAGTTAGGACTCGAACATCTTGGGTTAGCAATTGTTTGGGAAAATCAATACCTCGTCCTCCAACATTTCCGACACATATCAGAAAGAAAATTGCCATTTTAAACTGCGACATTTTCAGACAGTTGGATAGATATTTTGGTGTGCAAGCGTAGGATGTAGCAATGCAAGTGATCATGTGATACCTCCCGTGTAGCGTTATATACCAGACCCAACTACTTGTGTATACAAGACAAGTGGTCATTCAATGGCCGGGTGTTGGCGAGGTGTTCAAATTCCTTCAGGCAATGCTTATAATCTGCTATAGAGAAATGGTAGTCGCGTGTATTATGTGTAATTGTACGCATCGTATGTAACATAAACACGTATCTGCTACATTAATATATTTTTAAGCGTTACTGTGATTTGACAGATAATATATTTTGCAAACGAATAATTTGAAAAAAATAATTACATAGATCTTATTACCATATGTTTCAAGCAAGGTGTTTATGAAAATATTCTGTAATATACTACTGTACATGTGGACGTTGTCTTCTTAAGGCATGAAATATAAGTTCTCTGACATTAAACATTGTTATTTTAATATACGCATAAGCTATATACAGGATTCCGATGTTGTCAGATTGAATAAAGCTTTCTTGATTCAATGAAATTGCACAACTAATTCTGATCTTACATGTATATTCAGTATATTTATATATTGGTGCCAAGTCCCAGAAACTGTATATGCTTCTTTAAATCACGGCTTATGCATATTCACAATTCGTCAGTGTAAGATGGCCTTCATCTTTACAGGTACATACTCTTTTCACTATTCAGTTCCCAGACAGCGGCTATCATGCTCCTCCACAGTAACTAGCCCGTCTCCCTGTCTCATCTGACTGTCGAACAATCACTGTCTGATCCTGTCTCCCGGATCACACTCATCCCGTTAATCTCAGCTAGTTCCTAGTTTTCTTTAAGAAAACACCTCGTCAGCTTTTAGAGTGAACGATTACACGCCTCAGTGAATATTCATCAAAGCGATTCTTAAATGCTGATTGCAAGGTTTCATTGCACTGTTGTTATTGTGAGCACATATTCTCATAGTATGTAACAATCAAGTTAAGCATATAGAAAGTACCCAAATATAAGATATTAGTTTCATATTTCTGAACTACAATGTTCCATTATTGCTATCTCTCTGTTTACATGTTGCTACTTTCTGTAATACACTGTATGTGTTAGTTCCTCGCCAAAGCTATTCATAAGAGGAATTGAAGGATGCATTTCAAGTAGTTAAGTTCACCAAGCTTCTTAGGAAACCAAAGTGATCAACACAGCAACATTTTCTCCCGTTTTATGAGGATAAAGCATGTAATGACACATGTCGTGATAAGAGATTATCTATCATCAAAACATCATAAAGATCAAGTATTTTTAATCCTCCTCAACTAAGTGTGTATCAGTATCCCGCCATGCCTTGGTGCAACAACGTCGATGTAGACGTCGCCATGTCAGACAACACACTCAGCCTCAGTATGTTAGCATGTCTCCTGTCTTATTATTATTATCATTGCTCTGTGGCCCTGTGATCTTGAAACAACATGAAATTGTTAACACTGAAAGGACATTATTGACTTCTTTGTTAAATAAATAATTGGCACATCCCTGAATGTTTTACAAATTATTACTTACTTATTGGCGTTATTGGAATTCAAAAATGGATTAAAACTATCAGCTTATCACTAACCCGAGAAAAAATAAACATTGCCTTCATTGCCGAAATATATATTATAATGAAATAAAAAGAGGGTTCCTGGAACATACCATAATATTCTGAATAAGATTCTTGTGTCTTTGATTTGGAATCCTTAATCATAGTCCACTTTCAATTGGTGGTAAGTAATTAAGGAACAGACAGCTACAGAGGTTTCGAAAACATTGTATGACTTGTAGCCACTCTAGTTAAATGATGCAGTCTTGTTTGGAATGTATATATGAAAACACAAAGTTTTCGCCGTATCCATATATAATTCGTCTTTCCGGACGTTTTTTACAAGGAATGGCACCACCCGGAAATGTCGCTGACACCACATTCGTTGACGCATATAGAAAACATGGTTAGGATATGGCGTGTGAAAATCAATTTATGCTTCTCAACATACGTTAAGTTTTTTTTATTTCGCTTGCTGCAGACATGTCACTTTCACTGGTGGCATCTTTGTTAATCTCCTTTGTGTCAAAGGCATGCAACTACTTGTGCTAATCAGGTTATCATGATACACTTCAAGAGTGTTTTCTCATGATAAAAATGAGGAGTGCGCTCTTCCTATTTATCACACCTATTTTAAGTGTGAATAAGACAATTCGTATGCATTCCATGTATTGCATTGAAAAGGTAATTTCAGGTGACATGCAAGCACAAACTATTTAGCGTTGGTAACGTATGACCGATGGAAGGTGAAGTGCAATCGAAAGTTGTACGAGTATGTATTTTCTAATTGTTTATAAAAGAGTAACCTCCTTGGACTGACTAGTTGGATGTATCATATTTGAATATAAATTGTTCTGTGTAGCGCTAAAGAAATAATATAACGATGATTCAAGAAAGATAGTTGGGTACAGTGTAACATTTATTACAAACGATCCATTTCTTTTACATGAAGCAAATCAGTATCTACAAAATAGCACCATTGTATATCTATATATCACAGTTACAATTGGCCGTGCCAAGGTGTCATGACACAGATTGGTTGTTTGGCAGCTGATTACGATCAGAATTCATGACATAGTCCACTGGTGTTCATGGGAGACGTCAACGTCATCGACATCCACATTCAGAGGCGATCATGTCCTCGTGATGACGTACAACAACTTCGCCATCCTCCACGTACATCATGCTGAGAGGTTCCAGTTTGGTTGGGACACAACACAGGTCGGGAGCGGCGTTGGAGCGCTTGCTTCTCATGAGTGACTGCAGCATGGCGTGATTGGTGGGTTTGAATCGGATGTCGATGGGGGAGGGACAGTTTCCGTGGCAGAATTTGGAGTTGAAGCGTGTCGGGCGGATGATCCACTGTCCCCAGCCGATCGTCTTGAAGTCCACGTTAAAGTCGTACAGACGACAGCCTTGTTTCTTCCCTGACTTGTTCCATCGTCTGTTCTTGCGTTCTCGACGTCTGCTTGTGGCATGTGCCGATCTTTTAGCGCGTGATGCTATATTACCTAATCCATCAAAAGTGGAATGCTCTTCGACTTTGTAGGTTTCCAAAAGGTTTTGAAGAAAGTGGCGATTTTCCAAATAAAATACAAGTAAGTATCCATAAGTTTCGGATGCTGTTTTCAAAAGAATTCTGGAGAATGTCCGTGGTATTTCCACATGAATGGTGGCGTCACCGTGGTAACCGTTGATGAAGGTATTGATGGCTCGACTGATGTCAAATACATAATATTCACCCTGTGTAATAGGTTTGACCCTGATGTTAGCTTTTCGTGCGATATTCTCTCCCTTGCGAATGATGACCTTGACCCTGTACTTCTTTAAAGGAGATACAGAGCGTCTGCACCGGAACTCAGCTAATCGGAGACGTTCGTTCTCAGGTAGACTAGGAATCTTGAACGATAGCTCGACTCTCTTTCTTACATTCTTTTGTGTCATGTCTGGAATTAAACATACATTGCATGAAAACCAAAGTTGTACAAATAAAACACTTTCATCAAGAATATTCTTGCAGTGAATGCTTAACGTCTGCGAGCCATTCATCTAATTTCCATCCCTATTTGGCATTTTATGCGCATTGCAATTGTTTCGGCAGACAATCGAGACTGATTATTCCCTGGCCTTGATATATTGAATTTCTTACTTTTTTCATATTGTTTGTTAATGATTAAAATCGTATGTGATCTGACTCCAGGTTAAAGATTACCTTTAGCCGTGAAGCTCCTGATGGTGTCTGCTTTCTTGAAATCAGCTGTGTTCAGCTTTCTGCCTGCCGCTCTTGCAAGTGGTGCCCCTTTTTGAAGAATGTTAAACAATTGTACCATGAATTGTGTTGAAGGCTTTTGATAATCAACTGGATGACTCAACCTTCCAACAATAGGGGACAGATCTGCAAGAGGTCTTGCACCATTCCCATAAGTATCAGTTAGGACTCGAACATCTTGGGTTAGCAATTGTTTGGGAAAATCAATACCTCGTCCTCCAACATTTCCGACACATATCAGAAAGAAAATTGCCATTTTAAACTGCGACATTTTCAGACAGTTGGATAGATATTTTGGTGTGCAAGCGTAGGATGTAGCAATGCAAGTGATCATGTGATACCTCCCGTGTAGCGTTATATACCAGACCCAACTACTTGTGTATACAAGACAAGTGGTCATTCAATGGCCGGGTGTTGGCGAGGTGTTCAAATACCTTCAGGCAATGCTTATAATCTGCTATAGAGAATTGGTAGTCGCGTGTATTATGTGTAATTGTACGCATCGTATGTAACATAAACACGTATCTGCTACATTAATATATTTTTAAGCG